CGCGCGCCGACCTCCTGCCACAGCGCCCCCTCTGCCTGGGCCTGGGATAGCGACCGGCCTGGTGCCCACCATTCGGAGGCCTGGTCTTGGCCCGTGGTCGCTCCTCTTTGACTGGCTGCAGGAGTCTAGCCAGACTTCCTGGCCGCACTTTTCCGTCTGCACAGCTGCAGATGCGCCCTTGAAGCCTCTTTCTTCCCTTTTTCAATCAAACCATTTGTTGGGCATCCACCATGTGCCAGGCACTGTGTCAACTGCTGAGGTTCTGACGGTGAACTTCGTGATTTATCTCTGGCAACCTGTAATTCAAGGACCAAGTTTCTCTCATCTCTGAGGACTGGTTGGACAGGCACGTTGGGGGATAGGGTGGGGAGGCACAATCAGCTTTGAAAGTCAGGGCTGTCTTAGCTACTGCCTGGAAGTCCAAAGTGCCCAATGGGTGTGTGGGCCCACCCACTGGCCTCCCTCATCCAGCTCTGTGCCCTGGGCACAATTCTGGAACTTCACTCAGACCAGAGTTTCCTAGGTATCATATAATCTAAGGGTTTGTACCTGATGGTCTCAATGTTTTTTAGGAATTCTAGGTTATCCATTGCTGTGTAATGTATAACCACAAATGTAGAGGCTTACAACAATAGACATTATCTCACAGTTTCCATAGGTCAGGAGTCCAGGCAGAGCTTAGCTGGATTCTCTGCTCAAGGTCTCACAAGGCTGCAGTCAAGTTATCAGCTAACCTGCATTCTCATCTGGAGGTTCAAATGCAGAAGAATCCAATTGCAAGTTCATTTGGACTGTTGGCAGAATTTGTTTCTTTGTGACTATATCCTGGTTTTTGCGGGCTGTCAGCTGGAGGCCACACGCAGGTTTTGAGGCCACCAGCAATTCCTTGCCATGTGAGCCTCTCCAACATAACCACTTACTTCAATCCCACAAGTCCAGTCTAGCTCCAGTCTGCTAAGACAAGAGTCTTATATAATGTAATACATATAGGAAATGGGAAACAGCATCCCATCATCTTTGCTATATTCTATAGATAAGAAGCAAGTCATAAGTTCCACTCATACTCAAGGGGATCACACAAGGTGTGGATACCAGGAGTCAGGAATTATTTGGAGGTCACCAAATGATCTGTGTACTACACCAAGTTTGCTGTAAGGGAAAGTATAGGGAAAGAGAGAGCTGTGGACTAGGATAGGAGCAAGTAAGAAAGGAAGTCAAAATATATCATGGGAGGGTGGAAAGCCACCAACAGTAATTTCAAGGGTCGCTAATTGGTACAAAGTTAATTGCTGGGACCAGGCCAGACAATATTTCTACATATGTATTTGTATGTGTTACATAAATGTCCATATGCAGTTTAAACATAACAGGAGGGAAAGTTAGGATAACTTTTTAGCCACAGATAAGTACCTTAAGGGAGTGGGTCACTGGACCTATGGGCTGGGGACCATGGTCACAGGGGATATCAAGCCCAATGGGCACAGCATGGTATACAAAAATATTGTTCTACATCTTACTTTGGTGAGCAGTGACTGGGATCTTAAAAGCTTGTGAGTGGTCATCTAAGTGGCAACTATTGGTCTTTCCTCGTCTGGAGCAAAGAAGAGTGATGATATTCAAAGACATGTGGGAATAGTCCAAACAACTAATGGATCATTAGAACCTCAACCTATGTGATGCTGAGACCAGAAGAACTAGATGGTGCCTGGCTGCCAAGCCCAACCACTCAGAAAGGGATCAAAATTAGAGATCCTGGATAGAGTGGGAGAACAATGTGGAGCAAAACTCCAACTCATAAAAAAAGACCAGGCTTTCTGGTCTGATGGAGACTGGTCGCACGCCTGAGACTATGGCCCCAATTCACCTTTTGGACCTGGAATGGCCCTGAGTCACCCTTCAGGCCTGGAATTGAACTCACTCCTGTGACTTAACTCTTAGCCAAACGATAGACAGGCCTACGAACTGAAAAACTACACTAGGGTGATGTACTCCTTAAAATAATCAACCATGGGTGATCAGAAGGGCAGCATTTGCACAGGGAGAAAGATAGGGAGGCAGGAATGCATAGGCAAGAAGGACACAGGGAAAGTGTAACCATAGGGAAGAAGTGGGAGGTGAGATGTTACACTGTGGGGAATGTAACCAGTGTTACAAAACAAAATGTGTATGAACTGTTGAACATAAAAGGAATCTGCTTTGTAAAATTTCACCCAAATCAATTAAAAAAAAATGTTTAAGAGCAAAGATATCACTTTGAAGACTAAGGTGCAGCCTGAGCTAAGCCATGGTATTTTCAATAGCTTCATATGTTTGTGGAGAGCTGGATAGTGAATAAGGAAGACTACAGAAGAACTGTGTTTGAATTGTGGTGTTGGCCAAGAATGCTGAATGTACCATGTACTTCTGGAAGAATGAACAAATCCATCTTGGAGGAAGTACAGCTGGAATGTTTCTTAGAAGGGAGAATGGTCATACTTCATCTCTCATACTTTGGTCATGCTGTCAGAAGGGACAGGTTCCTGGAGAGGGATATCATGCTGGGTGAAGAAGAGGGCCATTGAAAAAGGGAAGGCCCTCAACGAGATGGATTGACACAGTAGCTGCAGCAATGGGCTCAAGCGTGGCAACGATTGTGAGGATGGTGCAGGACCAGGCAGGGTTTGTTTTTTTTCTGTTGTACACAGGGTGGCTATGAGTTGAAACCAACTCAGCGGCACCTAACAACAATTGGTACACGTGCCAAAGGCTGCTCAGCTGTTCCCTTGGTGCTTAAGGGCCTGGATGTGATGAGCCTGACCTCAGAGGAAACCACATTGTATGTTTCCTCTTCTTTTGCTCCTGGGCTGTGAAACAAAGTCACAAAACTGGACATACTGACTTCAGTACAAATTCCTGCTGTCCCACCTTAATTGGGTCTTCTTGCAATGCTAAACCTTTTCTTGCCCATTGTCACTTTACAGAAACCAAAGCATCCTACTTTATTTTCAGGTTCCCTGCTCTGTACCTGGTGATTTTGCTCTTTGCATCTATTCTTTCATCTTAAAGACATGAGTCAGCAGTCAAGCACAGACTATTTGTACCACCTTGAGGGCCTACTACAGCAGTTGCCTGACCCTAATTAAGACAAATTTATACCAGGAGTTGGATGCAAATATAATAAAAACAAAAAAATATGAAATTGGATTAATAGTTAAGCTTTGGGTTACATGGAAACAGATATACCAGGCTAGCTGGCTGGAGAGCTCTGTTAGGCAAGATATTTGGCAAAACTCATTTTCAGTAACTTGGAAGGCAGATCATGTGCCTACTCAGCCTGCAACTCTAGGGGGAGAAGTTGGAAAGAGAGCTTGTTGTTGTTGTTATGTGCCGTCGAGTCGGACCCGACTCATAGCGACCCTACGGAAGTAGATTGCCCCATCTTCCTTCCGAGGAGTGGCTGGTGGATTTGAACCGCCAGCCTTCTGGTTAGCAGTCAAGTGCCTTAGCCACTATGCTACCAGAGCTCCCTGGAAAGAGAGCAGTGGTGTGATTTGCTGCTATTGAGTGCTGTATGAGAATCCAATCGGGAGACAGAAACCACACGAGTTATTTGAACAGAGAGACTTCAAGACAAGGAATTGTTAGATAAAATGTTGTTAACTAGGTAACTGAAAGGGTGAAAAGAGAACTCCAGAGTATTGTGGAGGTAGCAACTGCAGGAAGCGGATATGTAAGCCTTTACCAGGGCTGAGAGAACAAATAAATGAGGCTGGAACTATTAAAACTTAGAAGCTTAGAAGAAGGTTTTTGCGGAGCTGAAACCCAGACCTCTAACGATGAGGTACCAATGGGCTGATGCTTGTGTCTTTAAGATGTTGTTGTTGTTGTTGTTGTTATGTGCCGTCGAGTCAAACCCGACTCATAGCGACCCCTCCTTGGGTTTCCGAGGCAGTATCACTACGGAAGTAGGATTGCCCAACCTTCCTTCCGAGGAGTGGTCTTTAAGATAGGGCACAAATAAAGTTGGTTCTGTAATTGTTAGAAAAACCACAAACTAAATTCAGCTGCTACTGAAGGAAGGAAGTTCTTCTGCTACAGTGAGGGGACGTTGCTGGGTTGACTCTCACAGGAACCAAGAGCGATAAGAAGGGGCAAGTCCCTTCCTCCCCTTCAGCTTTAGAGGCTCCCCCAGATGCTCCAAGTGACAGAGCATAACAAGGAGCAGCTGGCAAAGTGGAAATGTGGGTTGCAGGGCCCCGATTCCAGTATCTCAAAGCAGAGTTTAGACAGGCAGGTTTGGAGCTGAGAGAAGATAACAATGTCTTTGAATACTCTGCACATTTTTGAACTTCCATACAACAAACAAACCTATTCTTCCACCTAAGAAGATGCCACTATCTTTTGCACAAATACATTCTTATCCCAATGATCATTGTATCTATCTCCAGCCTATGTTAATAAAACCTCAAAATTAGTCAAAATCCTCTCTGAAAATTCTATTATTTGAAAACCAAATTGCAAAGTCAACCTTGAACAAAATTTGCATGAAAAATAAGGGAAGAAGAAGTGGGAAGAAAATTATATATGCACATACATATATTTGTTGTCAATTCTGACTCATGGCGACTCCATGTGACAGAGTAGAATTGCCTCATAGAA